GAACAAAGGCTTTTACCCTTGGTCGTCTGGAAAACTAGATAAAAGACTCCAAGCAAGACGTGAATCCTCTCATGTGAGTAAAAGGCGTGGGATTTAGCACATGGACTTTGTGACATTAATTGTGCTTCCTCAGAAGTATTTTGTTTGTTTCTGGCTGAAGTTTTTGTTCCTGATAGCTGAAGCTATTGAATAAATGAGGTCTACCCACGCGGGGTAATTCCTTTAGCAGGTAATCGCATCTACTGGTCATAAAAAGAGCAATAAAACTTCCATCCGTGGCAGGAAGGTTGGATCCAGCCATCCACAGCCTTCTCATCTAGCCTTTGGCGGAGTCCAAACTTACTTCTCACACTCTGAGCCTTGAAAGCTGGATCTTTCCCCTTCCGCCCACATTCCCACCTTCACTCAACTCATCTCCAACTCCGTGAGACTTGAACTCAACTCAGGGAGAAGCTTATTAAAAATGAGATTTCCCCTTCCTTCATGACGCTAACACACAAGCCTGCGTCTTCCTCCCGATTTGCTGCCCTGTGTGTCTGTGCTGTTCTTTCTGGCATAAGCATCTCCCTGTCTCCTGAAGGCTCATGTCGGTCCAGGGCACAGGTGTCCGTCCTTCCTCTCGGCCAAGCCTGGAGGCAGCCCTGCTCTGTCAGGAGTGAGCTCCCTCTCCCACTCTCTCTGCACTGGGACACCCCGAGGACCCCAGTACTCCCTGACACCCAGGTCTCCTCTCCCACTCACCGACTCACTGGATGTGGTGAGGGGGAGCCAGGATCCTGCATTTTCATTTGAGTGGCCACCCTCTCCGCATCCCCAGAAACACCTTCTTATATTAATCACTTCATTCTCTTAACACTGTTCTAACATCTATTAGTTACATTACAAAATCAGCACTTTATTAGTTTGCTAATGAACGCGGAACATTCATCTTGTCTCCCTAGCTCCGAGCTCCCTCAGGGCACATGGCTTTGCTCCTAACTATTACGGGGCTTCTAATGACATTTTAAGACACCAATAGGGTTTGGTTGGTGGCTATGAAACAGAGTGGTGCTGGGAGGCTCCATGGGTGCCACACCCCGTGATTTTGATGGAGATAGGATGCTCTGAGCCAAATAATTTGCCACTGACTAACTAAAGAAAGAAAAACAAGAAAAGCACAGTAATAATAACTGCTAAGGGACCAAGTATTTGTTGATAGACTTATTTGTTTAGAGTAGTTTCTTGAACTGTCTGTCTGAGTTGTAGGGCCAAGGTTTTTTAAGGCTAGAAAAAAAACAAGGAAACATCCAGCTCATTTGAATAATTATATTATTGACTGTCCTATTTTGGAATCTATGGCCATAGACCATAGCAGTATATTTTAGATTACAGATTCCAAAACCCCTAACGTGACGGTAAGGTAAAAGAGACTATAAAATTATCTTCAATTGGATATCCTATTTACCTTGGTTAATTGAAAAATGTGGATGTCATTAACTATATCTCTATAAATTATTTAATTTCTCTTCTCCTGCCAAAGTTAGGCTCCCATGTGGAGAGTGGAGGGGGCCAAGGGAAGGGAGAATAGCTGGTCGCCCTGACAGGACAGAACAGATGTCCTCCCAGGGGCTCTAGGCTCTGAGTGTTGGTAAGTCTCAGTCCTATATGGTCCTTTTGTCCCGTCTATTCATAATTTTAACAGAGTCACCATAATTAATAGCTTTTCTCTATTCAGATATATTATGGATTATAAAATGTATAATGAATTATGCTGAATTTTGTACCTGGAAAGACCACTAGAAAAAGAAACTCATACGTTAAATTAACCAAACTGTCATTTCAAAAATGATCCAATATTGGCAGGTGCACAGTGACTCCGACTGGTGACATCTTTTTTTGTGATTCATGTGTTTTCAGTTTTTCCCCCTTTTTCCAGCTCTTACATAATTCAGCTTCACAGGAGGGGAGTCTGTGAAGGGTGAGCCCTCCTAGCACAGGGCTCGTCCCAGGTGCCACTGTCTTAAAGCAGCCCAGGGGGCACTGAGCACGCTCATTAATCACAGTGTGTTTATTCTGGGAAAACGAACCCTCAGTGACAGAGAACCAAGTGAATATGTGTTAATTAACACCATCCCTTACTGCATACATCTTCATTAATTCAAATAAAATGCTCATAATACCAAAAGATAAGGAGAGAGTGGTAGATAAAAGGAATTACAGAAAAAGAAAGCTCTTACGTAACAGTCTGGCTTGGAGGGCACTGGGGACAGGAGCATCTCTACTGTCAAAACTCTTCTGCTATCTGCTATTGGGTTGGAGCAAACGCAGTAAGTGTCATGAGGCTTGTTTGTTGTTATTTTTTCTTTTCTCCTTTAACCTTGATTTTCCAGGTTGAACCCTGTCACTAAGCTTTGTAAACAAATTTGCTCCAGTGAGGATACATGATGCTGGTCTCAGAAGTGACAGGTAACTCAATGGTTTGAATTCATTTTTCCAGTGTTCTTTAATATTAGAGACAATAGTATTATAAAGAGACAAAAATATAGCTTGTCCTCTTAGCATCTGATGTCGGCAACCGTTTTTGTTCAGAATTAGCCATTCCTATATCTTGAGAAAGTATAATCGGCCACTTGTACTTTTTAATTAGTATGACTAAAGCTTAATCCCAGTGTATAAATTCAGTATTTTGTTTGACTAGCTCTATATAGAAACATACTTTTTTATGGCAAATGGACTCTGATTTTATTGTACTAGATACAAATGAGTTCTGTAACAAAAATAAAACGCAGTGTCCTTAATCGTCGTCTGTAAGGAGAAGAGCTATTGGGCTTCAGCTTCTTTCTGCTTCTTGCATTAGGGATCCAGGCCTCCGCCGTGCACGTTGGTGATGTTATATCCTTGTTAGAGATTAGAAATACTGAACCCTGATGACTCCACATACAGAAATTTCTGTATGTTTCTTTATACCCAGAAAAGACCATCCTAATACCCTCCAAGCAGGCGCTAACTTCTTCTCCATCAGTGGGATGTATGCGTATCATTTTCTTATGATGCACTTGGATACGTTTCTTTTCTGAATTGAAAAAAAGAGCAAAATCTTTGTTTTGCTACTTCTGCCGTCGGTGAAGGAATTTGAACCTCGTCTCGAGCTCTAGCCTGGGCCCTCTCAGAGGTCAGAGAACTGAGATTAACTGACAAGTCTTTTTTCCCCAAATTCGAGGGTTCTAAATAATTTCTTTGACATTCAATAGGGAAAAAACCCTCGCCATTTCCTTTGCTAGTGATCAGCCTTTGCTGAGTGTTAACAAGTTATGTCATTAGCTTCTTCTTGGCTGTCTTTTACAGCAATTCATAAAGTTATCAAACAGTTGAAAGGCCATGTGCATATCAAATATCAGCTATTTGTTATTTCACACATAACCAACCTGAGACCCACAGATGTGATGTCAAGTGCTTAAGATCAAAGGACAACCTAGGCTATCCAGACAGACAGAACTTCCAGGATAAAGTGGAAAACAAGACTTGACATTGCTTCATGGAGTCCTTTTAGTGTCAGTGTCCTAACTCAAAAGACCTCGTCCAGCTTCATCTGGCTGCACGGAGTGGACTCAGGCCCCTGGGTGTGTCTCTACTGCGACACTGCCACAGGCAGGAGCAACTCCTAGTCTTTTCAGAGAACTATCATTTTTGAAAACTTGAGTAGCCAATCATGATCCTGCCCATTTAAAACATTTCTGAGTTATAGTACTAATCTGAAGCTAGGGGATCAACAACTACAGGTCCACATGGGCGAAAAAACACATTTAGATTTGAGAAGGGTAAGGAGGGAGGAAGGCCAAGGCAGCTCCTGCCTACGAGATGCAATGTGGGGCACACGGCACACGGCCCGGGTGAAGGACTCAACTACAACTAGGGCTTTGGACTTGACCTTACAAATGCAAATGATGTAACTTAATCACATTAACCTGAAATTTAAAAAATTAAGAACAAACGCGTCTGACAACAAAATGTTAAAGCAATCTTGTTATATGTACATCGGGCTATAGAGGATTTCTGCTTCTCCAGGACTCCCGGGAACGCTCAGTGAGTAGAGGTCAGCAGGTCTCTGCACAGTGGAGCTGAGGGGACGCTTGCATTCTTGAATTATGTTTTTATTAGATGACCTGTCTAAGGTCTCACATTCTTATTTTCTCAGTAATCCTAAATTTTCAATATATTATGTTGAACCATTTAGTAATTGTTATAAATGGTCAAATAACAGCAATTCCACATAGTTCCATCTATTTATGTAATGGGAAATTTCTGGAGTTCTATGTCAAAATGCAGGTTCTTACACAGATTGACAATACTTAAGTGACTTTCCCAGGAATATAGCCAATAACTAGGTATGTCTTATACGGAAAATGAATTCAGAGAGAAGGACAAAGATGCACAACGTTTGCTTAGCTATTTACTGGGGTGACCCTTTCCTGAAGTGCGGGGTTTTAAGTTACTGGAAGTCTTTTTCAGATAATACATGTTAGAAAGTCACCCAATCTACAGCAAGACTCTCGTTCACCTATATGGAGGCAGTAGAGAGAGAGGACCAGGTTGTTCACAGCGTTCAAATGGTAATAAGCTGATTATTGAGAAATTAAATATGGACCTTTGAGAAACCAAAGATGAATCAGTCCCTTCTCTCTCATTAGAGTCTCACAGACACATGATTTAGGCACTTCATTACTCTTACTTTTACTGGAAAACTGTACATAAATTCTATATATATCAATTCTTAACACTGCCAGTGATCCATTCAATTCAACCAGAGGACTCAGAACGCCGGCCATGTGCCAGGTATTGGGTCAAGTGCTACAGAGTTTTTGGACTGAATTGTCTCTGACCTACTGCTTAGCCCCCAAACAAAAAAACAAATAAGGAATGTAAGAAGGACTTACTTTCCGTCATTTAATTCGAGTCACGTAACTTAGTAACGTGGTTACAGGTTTGTTTCAGGGGTGGTATCTGCATGCATTTCTTCTTACCTGAAGGATCTTATCACCAGGCTGCAGAAGGTTTGATGCTGGCCCATCAGGCTGAACCCTAGTAACAAAGATACCCTATAAGTCAGAAGTAACAGAGGTTAGGATTCTATTACCAGTACTTGGGCCTGCTTAAATAAATTTTCATTCATATATAAAATAGCAAAAACAGATTAAGAGCAATTTATACATGTAAGCTTCTGCAGATCATCATTGTATCTTAAGCAAGGTATCACCACTCTTTTTTTTTTTTCTTTTGAAACAGTCTCATTTTGTTGCCCAGGCTACAGTGTTGTGGCATTAGCCAAGCTCACAGCAACCGCAAACTCTTGGGCTCAAGTGATCCTCCTGCCTCAGCCTCCTAAGTAGCTGGTACCTCAGGCACCCAGCACAACGCCTGGCTAATTTTTCTATTGTTAGTAGAGATGGGGTCTTGCTCTTGTTCAGGCCGTTCTTGAACTCCTGAGCCCAAGGGATCCATCCTCCTGCCTCAGCCTCCCAGAGTGCTGAGATCACAGGCAGGAGCCACTGTGCCCTTCCGGCCACCATTCTTCAAGTCAAGTTTATAAAAAGCAATGTATTTGCTTGCAAAAAAGAGACAATTTCAATTTGTAAATTGATCTTATGATATATCTTTAATAATTCCTTTCTTAAATCAAGTGGAATATGATACCGAACCATCTTTTGTATAAATTCTGAATTTGTTCTGCTATCCTACAATAAAAATGTCTTCTCTAGGTTATAAATGGAGACTGTAGAGCAGCGGTTCCCAACCTTCCTCATGCCGCGACCCTTTAATGCAGTTCCTCATGTTGTGGTGACCCCCAACCATAAAATTATTTTCATTGCTACTTCATAACTGTCATGTTGCTACTGTTACGAAT